CCCCCCCCTAGGATACAAGAGTTTATTCAACCTTGGGTTCAAGGTCGCAACCTTAATTGGCTCCAGTGCATTTGCTCTTAATTCTTATCGGCCTACCCGGTGCCCATTGGGTCGGTTTGCTAGCCAAATCGCGTTTGTTTTCAGGCGACAAGTCGGGCGATCGACCCAACCCGACCCGACCCGAACTCATCCACGATGGGCACCCGGTATTGAAATGATGCTGTAAAGAGTAATAGACCAAGATGCAGAAATGGCCATATGTTGAAGCACATTTTATTCCTGGCAACTCTAAAGCGTACTTCATATAATATTACTTCAAACTAGAGTTATACGCCATGTCTTCTTAAAATTTACCTACATACATGTACTCATACATTCTGATTTTATAGAGTAAAAAAAGGCAAAATTACACTCAATACGCATGAACTGACTTCTCATTTTAAACAGCGTATTATTTTTGAGTACACAACATCAAATGCCCGTTTACACAGACTGAACTTTTTAAACATGACCTCGAGGGATTGTCCCATAAAACAACAGAGTTACCTCCTCGGAATATTTGCGGTCACTCAGGCTGGCGATTTCCATGTCCTAAATGAAGCAGAGCGGAGAAAGAAAAAAAGCAAACACTGTCAGATATTTGTTTTTAAAATAACAATTTAAAGGAGATCTGGTTCCCTTTTCATTCGTCATTGGCCTCCGAAAAAACTTTCCTTTTTTTCTTTTTCTTTCTAATATTTTTTTTTTATATTAATAAAATAAAATAATTTCTTGACGCTTGATGAAGCATGTCAATTGGTCGCTTTTGATTTTAAGCACACGTGGGGTATCCAGCGAAAATGCTATTTTGAGAAAATCGAATATAAAGTTTTTGCCCCTTGTTCAGTTTTTTTTTTTTAACAAGGAGAGTTATCTCTATAACCAAACACATTTGTCATACACATCAATGAAACAAAACTTCTCTTATAGGTAGGGCAATGCCCACTTTTGGTGTAGGCCAAGATTTCTGGACCCCCCCCCCTCCCCCTTCCGAAATCTGGGTTAGCCCACTTGTCCTTAAAAGCGACCAATTGTCCCTCTAATGTTGGTCACAGAACTGACACTTAGTGAAGTCTTTCGCTCGTGTGTCAGTTTTATCCAATACATTACTGAATTATTGTCCTGGTTAAGAGCATCACTTGTAATCTTTTCTACTAAAATGTTGAGGAGGTAACAGGGGCGGGCCTAAGGGGGCGGGGTCAACTCTAACATCAAATAAAACAATATAGTACAAAGACTTGTATTATAATAATATTCAAGATGGTACACTCTGAACTCTGACGTAATTCCGGTCCCCCATAGAATGCACCATTTGACTCTATTTAGAACCAATAAATGAAGTGCTAGGAGGGAAAGGTTGCGCGGGCACTCGATAAATAGCAGGACTGATGTTTTGTCCTTCATTAATTTATAGCTCGCCTATGGTGCGCATCACAGCAGCGAAGTTTTTTATAGGAAGTAAAGAGCCATGACAGTGCCAGGTCTCAGATATAATATAACATTATTTTAATTCTATGCAATAATAATATTATAACTTTGTATAGTTAAACGGTGCATCTTATACGCAAGATAATTCATCATCATAATACTTTTAAAAGATTGATAGCAACTGGGTTCTTTTTCTCCAAGTCTGGCGCTGGGTGTAAAGCAGTTACACGGCCAAGATAATCGCCTAGCCTCTATAGATCTGAAAAAGGAGGTCCAACTACTGTAAGATCAATCCCTACCTGTCCACATTTTGCATCAGGATCACGATACAAATCAGGAGCCTACACGTACGGTTTTCTTTATCAGTATAAAAGGTATATGTAACGTAACCCCCCCCTCCCTCCCAAAAAATAGTGTGTGTGTGTGGGGGGGGGGGGGGTAACACTTTAGCAAAACAGACACGTCCGGGGGTAAGCATCCTTCTTTGGATGCAACGTGGGAAGTATAATAATGCTAAATTGAGGTCTAGAACTTTCGTTGTTGTTTTTATCAAAATAGTACATGTATGCCTTTCACGTTGATAAAGAATCGGTCATTAAGGTGCAGTCATCGGGCTCAGAGGAAATATCTCATCATGAAGAACATTTTCAAAAATTCGGCCCCTATTCTGATGTTCTGATTCAAACTTAGAACGTCGAGTAGATCAAACTCGTAACCAGTGGCTCCACACACCAGCTGATATGATTTGGAACTTCGGACAACGAATAAAATATTATCGTTCTGTAGACAGCGACTGATCACTTCATTGCAGTAACCGGCATCTGTGGTGCAGCGTCTAGATGATTGGCTGTCGTAAGCATGGGATTCGAGTTCGATTCCCGAGAGGGGAGAAAATTTTAATCGATTATCCCGGTCTTTCTATTGGAATGTATCTCTCTCAGCCAGGGGTTGGCCCTGACAGGCAAGGTTGGAAGCCTACACCCTAAATCATCTAGATTGTGTCGATGAGAAAGTTTTTAAAAAATATTATTTTAAAAAACACCTAAAGTCTACATTTCAAAAAAAGATAAACATTTTTACCGCTTCAGCTGTTTTGCTGGGGCGAAATGCAAGTACTTGAGACGCTCGCACACCACTCGACTTCCTGAAAGAAAAGCCGAGGCTCGAAGTAATTGAGGCCTTCGAGGAAGACGCAACATGATCATTGGCAGTCGTGTTGGGTTTGGCATTGCTGTCTGACTCTGAGCTCACTCCGGGCTGCTCCGTTGCTTCTTCTGTGTGCTGGTCCGTCAGCTGTTCTGGGTTGTCTGCGTCCTGTAGCTGGTGGCCCGGGGATTCGTCTGTCGTCCGGTCAGAGGACGGGTCTTGGTCGTCAGTCTGGTCACATCATCATGATGTATGAAGCCCATTGAGGGCGAAACGTTGAATTTGTGATTACATTTTTGGAAATACTACCAGGTCTTAATCGTTAACCATTTTAATTCATGCATCTGCTTTATACAATGATGGTGATGTCGATGATGATGATGATGATGATGATGATGATGATGATGATGATGATGATGATGA